GCCAAAGTCGGTCGCTCAACCGACTGAGCCACCCAGGCGCCCTGGTTTAAGATTTTTTGAAGATGCTCTCTTTATCAGATTACAGAAATTCCTTTCCATTCCTACTTGACCAAGAGTCATTTTTTTCCCCTTTTCTCTCTCTCTTTATCACAAATGGATGTTGAATTGCTGTTTCTTAGGCATCTCTTACTGTTGCTAATCTCTTTTGAACAGAGAGAGAACAAGCCTTGGGTAGGCAACAGAATATCCAGCTGGCACTTAGTAACATTGTTTACATCACATTGATTTTACACTGGCTTCTTTTCATAGCAAATGATCCTAGGGTTGTTTTTTTTTTGTTTGTTTGTTTTTTGTTTTTTTTGATAGTAGGGTGTAAGGTTCTCTTCTTAAATACATTTATTTCAGTTAAGGTTTATTTAAAGTTCATGTTACATAGATAATGGGTTGGGTATACTGTGGAGGCAGCAATTATGTTGCTCTGGCAAAATGCTTGCAATCACACTGCCTGGGTTTGCTTTCTGGCTGGCTGGCCGTGCCTCAGTGTCCTTCTCTATAAAATGAGGCTATAACATTACTTGCAGGATTGTTGCAAGAATTCCGAGAGAGAGAGAGAAAGAATATGAGACAGGGGAAGTGGGAGGGGTGAAAGGAGGAAGAGAGAGAGAGAGAGAAAGTCAAACTCATAGAAGCAGAGAGTAGAAGCTTAGTAGGCACTGGGTGGGGGGGATGAGAAAAATGGGGAGACGGTGGTCCAAGCATCCAAAATCGCAGTTAGGTAGGATGAGTCAGTCTAGGGATCTAATGTATGGGCATGATGTAGCTGCCGTCCTGAATAATACTGTCTCAAGCACTGGAAAAATGCTAAGAGAGTAGATTTCAGGTGTGCTGAGCTACACACAATGGTGACTGTGTGAGGAGATGCGATGTTAATTTGCTGGACTGTAGCAATCATTTCACTATGAATACGCATATCAAATCATCACATAGTATGCCTTTAATGTATACAATACTATATATACATATTAAATATATATGTATATAGAGAGAGCTGGGATTGGGCACATGGTAGATGCTCCTGCAAGGCAGTGAGATAAAACTGGTCAAGAAATTTGGTTCGGATTCTGTAGGATCTAGGGACCTTAGAGCCCATTGGGGCATTTGGGTGAGTTGACATAAGGCAACAATAGAACCAAATTCCCCAAACCCAGAGGGACATCCTGTAGGTCTGACTGCTACATCAATTTATATCTTCTGGTTACAAGTCACTACAACCCAACCCAGACTGATTTAAACAGGAAAGGAATGTGTTGACTTGTGAAATTGCAACCTTCAGAGATGTTTCCTATAAATGGCGCCATACGATATGTGACCTTTTGTGCCTGGCCACTTTCACTGGGCATCACAGTTTTGAGGGTTATCCATTTTGTAGCATGTATCAGTACTTTGCTACTTTGTATGGCTTTATAATATTCCATTGTATGGATATGCCCGTTTTGTTTATCCACTTATCAGTTATGGACATAGGTGAATACGTAGGGACAGAAAACAGACACTGGTTCCCAGCGAGAAGGAAGAGAGTGCAGAATGACAGGTGACTGCTTAATGGGTACAGGGTTTCTTTGTGGGCTGAGAAAAGTGTCTTGGAACTAGATGAATTGATCATTGCATGACATTGCAAATATGCTAAATGTCACCGAAGTGTACATTTTAATATGGCTAATGGTTGGGGGCGCCTGGGTGGCTCAGTTGGTTAAGCATCCAGCTTCGGCTCAGGTCATGATCTCGTGGTTCGTGAGTTTGAGCCCCACTTTGGGCTCTGTGCTGACAGTGTGGAGCCTGCTTGGGATTTTCTCTCCCCTTCTCTCTCTGCCCCTCCCCTCCCCCCCCCCCCAAATAAATAAACTTCAAAAAATTAAAGTGGTTAATGGTTAGGTTTTTTATTATGGTAAAAGATACACAATATTATATACATAAATAGAATGATACAAATATATTTGATAACTATAAATACAAATTTATATAAACTGGAGAATATATAAATAACAGAATACTTATCATTTTAACCATTTGTAAGTGTACAATTCAGTAGCATTAAACCCATTCACAGTGCTGTGTAAGCATTACCACGGTACCCAAAACTGTTCCTCTTCCCCAACAGAAACTCTGTCCCCATTAAACACTAACTCCCCATTCCCTCCTCCAACCCTGGCTCCCACCGTCTACTTTTTGTCTCTATTAATCTGCCTGCTCTAGGGACCTCATGTAAGTGGAATCATATAATCATTTTTCTGGCTTATCCTTCTGTGTCTGGCTTATTTCACTGGGCATAGTGTTTTCCAAATTCATCCATGTTGTAGCATAAATCAAAATGTCCCTCCTTTTTCTGGCTGTGTAATATTCCATTGTAGGTACGGAATACATTTTGTTATCAGTTAATGGTTACCTTTATGTTATGTGAATTTTGCCTCAATAAAAAAAGATTTCAGGGGTAGATCAAGCTTCAGGTACACTTATCTTTATCAGAAGAGGGTGTGAGAGGGAGGCTGTGCCTTCTTTTCTGCCTTCCATGCCAGTGCCCAAGTCAGACTGCCTAGGGTCCAGCTTCTCCCCTGTCCTGTTATGTTCCCTCCACCCCCATTTCTGTCTCTCCTCACAGTTCCTGTGCCTTAAGAACATACGTACCTTCTTGTCTACCTGCTGTGAGAAGTTTGGCCTCAAGCGGAGTGAACTCTTTGAGGCCTTTGACCTCTTTGATGTCCAGGATTTTGGGAAGGTAAGCTGGTGCTGAACTTCCCGCAAGCTGGGCACAGACAGGTGGAAGATTGGATTTCTGTTCTTTTCCATGAATATTTACACTGGGAAATCTAAGTGCTGTTGGGGGGAAGGACAGAGAAGTCAGACCAGGCCATACACCAGATGCAAAGGGGTTGGCTTGGGGTATGCACAACTGGGTTCTAGTCCCTGCTTTGCTACTGGTTGTGTGACCTCAGATCTGTGGCCATGCCTCTCTGAGCCCTAGGTGCCTCCTTTGTAACACAGGAATAATACCATCCTATCCTTTCTGAGTGGTTATGACGATTGCATAGAGTTAGGGGATCGAGTGGTGGGTGCTCAGTTAAGGGAACCCTGATCTGCTCACACAGAGGAGTGGGAAGGGGGAGAAAACCCTGAATTAGCTCCCAGGGGCATGGAGTATAACTGTGATAGTCTAGCCTTGGGGGTTGGAGCCTGAGCCTGTGTTCTGGCACGTGGGTGGGCAAGGGGCTTACTGAGTGGCCCATGGCCCTTGTCACAGGTCATCTACACCCTGTCTGCTCTGTCCTGGACCCCGATTGCCCAGAATAAGGGGATCATGTGAGTAACCATTTCAGCTGGCATCCTTGGGCTGACCTGGCTCCAGTCCTACCCCTCCTGCAAGTCCCCATCCCTGGCCCCCAGGCCTCTGGCTCATACCGTCCTGGCTCCCTCAGGCCCTTCCCCACTGAGGAGGAGACCGTGGGTGATGAAGACATCTACAGTGGCCTGTCTGACCAGATCGAGTGAGTGTCTGGGACCACCACCCTGTCCTGGGGGGTCGGAGGGGACATGGCCCTGCCCTGGGGGGTCGGAGGGGACATGGCCCTGCCCTGGGGGGTC